TCTTGACTGGATTGTGTCTTTTGATTTGCCCTTCACATTCATAAGAGTATTCATGATGTTGTCAAAAAAATTCTTCTCTATATGCATCACATCAAGATTATGTCGGAGATTCAGATCTCTCCAGTATGGCAACTCCCAAAATATGCTTTCCTTGTGCCAATTATGGTACTTTCCATATCCAGGCTTCTTCTTTTCATGACCGTTTCCACCGCAGACAGACGTTTTTGGAGGATTGACACCTTTTAACCGCTCTGCATAAACTTGCTCACCAGTTAAAGAATCAGGTGGAAATTCATTTACCGCACTTTTCCCCTTCAAGAAGTCCTTTCTATTCTTCCTCAGTGGATGATTATGAGGAAGAAATCTTCGGTGACAATCAAACCAACACGTCTTCCTTCCATTAGGCAGATAAAAAGCCTTTGTATCTTCCATGCAAATTGGACATGCCAATTTACCATGGGTCGTCCATCCTGAAAGCATGCCGTATGCCGGAAAGTCGCTTATCGTCCACAAAAGAACGGCTTTAAGGTTAAAATTTTGATTCAAGGACACATCGTAGGCTTCAACACCAGTTGACCACAATTCTTTTAACTCCGCAATCAGAGGTTTGAGGAAGATATCAAGACTAGCTCGCGGATGATTTGGCCCAGAATTTAGAATTGTAAGAAATAGGTACTCTGTTTTCATGCACATCCCCGGGGGAAGATTATACGGAGTCAAGATCACAGGCCACAAGGAATGATTATGAGACATCCCAAATGGATTAAATCCATCTGTACATAATCCAAGATAAACATTACGCGGTTCTTCGGCAAACCGGGGATGTATTTCTTGAAAGTTTTTCCACTCTGCCGCATCAGATGGATGACACATTTCTCCCTCCTTTGATTGGTGCTCAGCATGCCACCTCATTGCCGCTGCAGTCTTCTTGCTCTGATACATTCTCTTCAACCTATCTGCTATAGGTAGATACCACATACGACTATATGGTACTTTGGTCCTACGTCGTTTGTCCCTAGGTTTCCATCTTTGTGCACCACAAAACTGACATGTTTCCCACCTTTCATCTTCTTTCCAAAATATCATACAATTGTTGATACAAACATCAATTGTATAATATGGGAGCCCTAAATTGCGCATCAACTTCTCTGTCTCGTAGTGTGAGTCGGTTGCCATGTTTCCATCTGGTAAATAGTCATTCAACATTTGGCACACCGAATCCACACACTTTTCACTCATATTATAATCTGTTTTAGTTTGCAAGACTCGAGCAGCTAAGGATAACTGCGAGTGACCTTCACGACAACCATCATACAAAGGATTTTTTGCTCCTTCTAACAAGTCGTAAAACTTTTTCGAATGGTTGCATGCATCGTCTACTACATTATGGTAACTACCATCATGGTGATAATTATCAGAACTCACATTATCACGAAATGCATCATTTACCATATCAACATATCTATCTTCATTACCAACTTCTTCACTAGTACCACTTAAATGTGTCGGGTCAACATGACTCGTTCCTAATGCCATATCAATTTCTTCTCCATGATTATACCAAACATAATAGTCTTCCATGAATCCTCTACTATATATATGTTTCCAAATTTTTGACCCCGGAAGAAATTTATCGTTCTTGCAAAAACTACATGGACAGAAAAATTTACCCCCATTGCTCTGCGTGAGAGGCTGGCTATTTGCAAATGTCATGAATTGATCCACCCCTGCAATGAATTCTTCCGAGAAATTTCCCGTCTTTTCATCGATCCTCTTGTACATCCATTCTCGAAAATTTGAATTGTTGTAATTTCCCGACATTGTAACACTTAAAACAATTTTTTTGATGATTTTTTTTTGTCTCTCTACGTTTTCTGCACATTGTGGAAAATATTGTTTAGTTTATATAGAAAATTTTCCGACTTATTAGCGACTAATTACCGACCAAAATAGGTATACCAACCATAAAACGTAAAGCACGTGTTGTACCGGTTTTCACCAACTGATTAGCGACTACGTTATGACCACTAGCATCAATCGCTAATCAGTCGCCGTATACCGACTATTTAGCGACTGATAGTAGTGATCATAAACTTAGTCGCTAATTAGTCGCCATTTGGCGACGACACTACGACTAAAACATGTAGTCGTTATTTGGTGACTGATTTGCGACTAACTTAAATTAGTCACAATTTAGTCGCCCATTAGTCGGTAAACGGTCGTCATTTTAACGACTACAGATTCAGTCGCCAAACTGTGGTCGGAAATCACATGTTTTCTTGTAGTGNATAAACTTAGTCGCTAATTAGTCGCCATTTGGCGACGACACTACGACTAAAACATGTAGTCGTTATTTGGTGACTGATTTGCGACTAACTTAAATTAGTCACAATTTAGTCGCCCATTAGTCGGTAAACGGTCGTCATTTTAACGACTACAGATTCAGTCGCCAAACTGTGGTCGGAAATCACATGTTTTCTTGTAGTGAATGGAGATGCTTTTAGAATGATCAATGTTGTCATTTAAAACCACGACATACATATACATGTATATAACTAGCTAGTATTGTCACCATGAAAAAATAAAGTTTTAGCAGTGACCATTACAAGAAAAATAATTGAGCTATTTAAAAAAAAAGATGAAGTGGCATTTACAATACTAGTTGATGAATGAGGATAAAAACTAGAAGAAAATGATTATAACGAAAATGCCAATGGACACTTTTGTTTTGAAGAATACGGATCAACCGACACTTAAATCAAGGAATGATCTATGAAGAAAAGTGTAAATTCTCGTTATACTGTATAACTATTATAATTTTTCTTTCGATAATTTGAACCCTTATGTGTTTTTTTTAATTATATGGTCGTTCTTTACAATTTGGCTACCAACAAAAATTAAAATTTTGGTTGCAAACTTGCAATGTTTGTAGCATACTGCATACATATTTTAAGGGAAAAAAAACATTTTTAGCATATACATATGTGCTTGAAGACTTGGAGAACATTTTAATGGGTTCGAAGCCTAATAAAACTCTACATATTAGTCGCTTCATATTGACTTGTGCTTGATTTTCAAATTATTATTGCTAAATTTATTGATTTCCACACTGATAAAAATGGCATGATTAAATAACTGATGTGTTGGCAACTGAATGCGAAGAATAATTTTGATCGTTCTAAATTTCTGATAAAATCTAGATGAAATTTAATCGTACATTCTCGCGGAAAAGATCTATAGAGCAGAAATATGGACCAACTGACTCGGTGTCTCAAGAATTTCTTGACGTGGTTAGTTGCTTACAACTTCTTTTTGAAATTTAACGAATGAACGAACCAAGGTCAGTGTTCTTGCCAACACCTTTCCTGGCCTTGTGTTTCAATGCTTTTGTTGAAGATATTGCTTCAGTTTGACCAAGATCGCCAGTGCCTATTCGAGTGTACAGAGCGTTTTCTCAACTTTAAGAGCTTTGTTCATTGATTTGCCAGATGAAATATCTATTTTGGTATCTGATAATGGAAAGGGCATGCTACTAGAAAAGATAGAGAAACCGCATCATATATATATATGGGGTAACAATCTGGCTGTTGGTTACGAGCCATGGTTAATTCTCTGTGATCCATTTTTGTGGGTGCCGATAATATAGAGACTAGAGAGTGTCATATCTAACTTATTTTTCTTAAAGAAAGGTTACATGATCTGACATTATCTATCTGCGCCGGATTTCCCTTCTGTTGATCGTGAGACCACGAACTTAACGGACATGTACTTCTCTTGCTTATCTGAGAGACACCGAGCATACTCTCCTTCTGATATGTGCATCAGCAAGCCATCAGGTTAAAGTTATGAAGAAGATGGATTCTCCATTGAGAGAAATGGCTATACATCTCTTGGTCTTTTATCAGCAAAAGGCGCTCAATGCCTCAGGAAAAAAATTGTTTGGGGTAACATTTGGTTGTTTCCATGGAGCAGCTGCAGAAGTGTATGCGTACTTAGAACCGCCTATGGATTCACTGAAGAAAATAGCTGTGTTTCTGTATCCTGGATTGTTATAGGTACGAGATTCTCTTGCATTGAGAATGTGTTGTTTGTTTTTCAGAATAACCAACCAACCAACTCTCGTGAGATAGAATCTGCTCCGTAAAGGTTTAGATTCCCTGATGCGAGTAATGACCACGATATTATTGGAGAATTGACTATATGTTAGTCAACATATTACAATGCTAAATTGCTAATCAACAACATTTATAATGTTAATCAACGTATTATAGATATTTTATTCTTTCTTGGGTTTTTTTTTTTTTTTTAGCCAAAACTTCAATAATGGAGTTGGGCTCATGCTGGTCACTCTTTTTTACGCCTAGCTTTTGATACTTATTGTTCTGTGGATTTTTCTGGTTATCGAGTTCACGTGCCTAGTAGAAAGACGCATGCATATAATTATGTGCTGCATTCTTTTTTCTTTTTTTTTTTTGTAACGCACTGAAATTTTCAGCATTAATTTGTAAAGAACTGTAATTAGTCGTATGTCCTTTTTCAAAAAAAAAACTGTAATTAGTCGTCGTAAAAAACTTTGAAACGTTTATGAAACTGGAATTAAAGCTCTCCCAATATAAACAAAAAGAAAACTGAAATTAGGCCCGTAATTTAAGTGGTCTATATTGAAACGTCTGGTTTGTAAACGTAATAGACACGTGTGGCACGTTTGGAGCGGCAGCTCCAGGGGGCATATGCCGAGTCCGAGATACTCACTGCTGCATGACCCTACTTAACCGGTAGTCAAACTTTTAACTTAACCATAGTTAGGCCATAACATCCGTTGAGATCTTTCCACGTGTATCAATCTAATGGCCATAATCTTTTCCTCTCTCAAGATATTCGCCGCTTCCCTTCCTTTTAACCCTCTATAAAAAAACCACCGCAAGACTCTCATTACATCCACGACTGATCCATACCATACCATTCCTGTAAGCTCTCTCATTACCAAACCAAACCAACAAATGGCGTTCCCTAAAGTCTTCTTCGACATGACCGTTGGTGGCCAACCTGCAGGACGTATCGTGATGGAGTTGTACACCGACAAGACTCCCAAGACAGCCGAGAATTTCAGAGCACTCTGCACTGGAGAGAAAGGAGTGGGACGTAACGGCAAGCCACTTCACTTCAAGGGATCTTCCTTCCACCGTGTGATCCCTAACTTCATGTGTCAGGGAGGTGACTTCACCGCTGGGAACGGGACGGGAGGTGAGTCTATCTATGGGGAGAAGTTTGCTGACGAGAATTTCGAGAGGAAGCACACTGGTCCTGGGATTCTCTCCATGGCTAACGCTGGTCCTAATACCAATGGATCGCAGTTCTTTATCTGTACGGTTAAAACTGATTGGCTTGATGGTAAGCATGTGGTGTTCGGTCAGGTTGTTGAAGGGTTGGATGTTGTGAAGGCGATCGAGAAGGTGGGGTCGGCTTCTGGGAAGACGTCGAAGCCTGTGGTTGTGGCTGACTGTGGTCAGCTCTCTTAGATTGCATGAGATCTATCCTCGGTTATAATTAGCGTCATCGTTGTCTTCTAGTGAGTGGTGTTGGTCCTCAACGTGTGTCTTTCTACTTTTGGTTTTGTGTTCTTTTCATTTGGTGTGTGTTCTGTTCTCATGTCACCCTAATTAGTAGTTAGTCCCATAAATAAGGAATGAGCTTTGTGTTCATCTTTTCGTATTTGCTTGAATTAACGAACGAAATCAAATAGGCCTCAAGACACAAAGTAAAATGAAATAATATAAAATGCAATGAATCTTCATCTTTAATTCTAGTGTAATGCATTTCCGTGTCAGGTTACATTGATTTCGTTGGACACTTTATTTATTTTTTGGTTAAAGGCCAAAACATGCTACATTACATAGATAAGAAACTAGTTCAACATCTCGTAATTACCACAATATGCTACATAACCACAACATGCTACATAGATACTAAAAATGAGTTATGATACCATAATAGTGAAACAAAACAGAAGTTGGTAAACCGTTTTTCTTATTTCACACAATAGAATACATGATTCTTATATCCAACGAGTAAGCCAGACTCTATTCATGTATACCAATAACCAGATTACACCAGACTCAAACCGAGTAGTCTAAGAGCACCTCCAATGGTGTTACCCACCATTGGAGTCCTTAAGATTATAATATTTGTTTTTTTCTTTTTTGAATAGTTAAGGACTTCAAACTCAAATCTTCCTCCAATGGTGTTATTGATTATGGAATCCTTAAGTTTTTTTTTCTTGCATACTACTCTAGGACAAAGATCTCTCTTTCACTTTATAAACCCTTTGATTTAAACTGACGCTTAACGTATTGATATTGGCATCGAGGTAACAAAAACAAAACACTCACAATTCCTCCACAACAAGGTCTTATTGGTATCCCTGTTCTATGCAAGTCATCAAACACTAACCTGAATCCTCACACAAAAGATTCAGCCCCAACCGCATCAAATTATAAGCAAAAGTAAAACAAAAGTTTTGGTATCTTTGATGGCTAAGTTATTGTGACCATATGGGCTTTTAAGTACCTTACACCATAGTTTCCTACTTGTTCTTCAGACATGATTCCTACATACCGCCTTCTAGATATCACCTGATTGAAAAAAACAAACAAACCATGATGTCGTAGTGTTAAGAGTAGAGCTTAAAGAATACAAGTTATTGTCCCTTTACAATCTATGTTTGATTATTCACATCATTAGTGGACTAGTAACCATAACGCAAAGGAACAACAGCAAGACTCATTGCTAAGATCACTCGTTCTCTTTTTACAAGAACCCCACCAAACATCAAATATATACAAGCAAGTCACAAGTTAACATCAAATAAACAAAAACAAACTAGCTGCCACGTTCAAAACACCAGTTGATTTGGGAAACAAAATCTAAAATATTCTTGACCTACAACAACTCATTGGAGAAAACTTTGGGAACTATATAGCGTAATCGAAGTTGAACCATTCACGTTTCACATCCAAGAAAGCACATTAACGTGTGTGTACCTATTAATATTATATAATATAACACAACCCCTTCGTTCTAGCAAATACGTCCAAAAGAATTGAGCTAAATTAGCCTTCAGCGATGCATAATCAAGTTTGATAATATTCCGATCAAATACAGTTAACACCAAATCGAAAGCTATACAAAAATCCATGGCAATCTCAATGTTCCAGAAAACGAAATCTATAAAATCAGAGGAGGAAACGAAACACAGATTCAAAAACGGCGACGATGAACGAGAGAGAGTATAAGAAACAGACCTAATTGAGAATGTCGGATCTCAGCGACAGTCGTCGGCTAGACGAGAGAATCGCCGGAGATTGTTTTTGATTCTCTCTGGTTTGCGTTTGGGCTTGTGTGTTTGAGAGACTCACCACGATAATCAACCACTTCCTCAACCAAAGTCGAATCCTTTCGACCAACCCAATGAAATTCACCACTTCTACTTCACTTTCCCCAAACCAATCCATGGAATCCGAACTGGAGGAACCTCCAATCTCAGAGAAAGTCACGCTAGACTTTTGCCAGCGCAACAAGGATTGATCCTTAAAACTCCTTAATTAAGGATTCATCCTTAGCCAATTTCATTTTTTAATATTAATTTAATCCCTAACAGTTAAGGACTAACACTAAGGATCTATTAAGATCCTGCGTTGTAGATGGTCTAATAGGGAAAAATAACACTGATAGCTATCACTAGTGACTGCGCTTCAATAAAAATAACTAAACAGCTCTCTTATCATCATGTATTCATGTGACTAAACCATTTCGGTCATGTGATACCACTAGAGAAAGCAAACAGTGAGAAAGCCAATCATGTCGGTTGTTTTTTTTTCTGGTTACAATGAAACAAAAATCTTTAATTCAATGCTAAATGTAGCGGGCCTTTCAGAAAGATTGTAACAAGTAGGCTGTCCGGCCCATTAATTTTGTCGACATAACTTATTTTTCAAATACAATTGGAGAAACATCATAATTAGGTGTGGTTTGAAGTTTCATATGAATAAGAAACTGTAATAATACTCTTCTCTTATTATACATAAATGGATTAATTATTTAAATCGAAATCTATTAGAATTCAGAGAAGACTCAATATTTTTTTAAAAAAGGTGATTGTGATTTATACATTAGTCTACTACTATGACAAAACTAGGAAATCCATGTCTTTGAGGCAGTCCATACGGGTGTGTGAACACATTCTCTTTCCAAATTCCAGTCAGAATTTTTTTATTTTCTCCATCTAATCTCAATTATTGTTAATCACATTAAAAAAATATACAAAAATAATTAAACTATTACATAAACATACATGCGTGAATACAACCATTTTGTCATGCTGCTATCAATTTTTTGTTTCCTTTAGTAAACAAATAAAAAATGAGAGCACGAAGATGCCAGATGGACATTTGGTGTATTCCACAGGACATTTTAAAAGAAAAAAAAAAGAGAATCAGAAAAGGTAATATTCCGACAAGGCTACGAATTTGGATCAATGCGCTGTCGTCATGTAACTCGCGAGTAGTAGAGAGAGAAACAAAGACGAGAAAAAAAAGAGAGAGTTGTAGATGGTCTTTCCATCTCCCGTTTTTTTGAATATAGGTTGTGATTCTCGTTCCTCATCTTTCTCTCTTCCTTTCCTCTACAAACCAGGTTTTTTCTTCCGTAGATCAAAAACAATCAGATAAACAACCAACGAGGACGGAGCTTCAAAAAGATTATTTTCGTGCTTTGTTTTGTTTTAAAGGGGGCACAAGATTTGACGTTGTTGTTTCGTTGGAAATTAGAAAGAGATAGGTAGAGAGTTGGATCAATAACAAAAAAAGAATGGTATCGGACAATGAGAAGGGTTTGGTCTTAGCTGTGGCGTCAAGTGTATTCATAGGTTCCAGCTTTATTCTGAAGAAGAAAGGTCTCAAACGTGCTGCTGCCAATGGCACCCGAGCTGGTTTGTTGTTGCTCTTTGATTTTGATAATTTCTCTGTCTCACTTTTTGTTTGGTTTGGTTTCATAGGCTGATGAACTATTAGATTTGATGTAATATGATTTTGTCTGGGATATATTCAATTTTTAAACTACCCATCTGCTCAGTTCATGGTTTATCCCTCATTGTTGATAGTGCATCGCCAACAATCTGCAATTTGGTTATAATACCTTTCTATTATCATTTGATTGAGAATATATATCAAGAAATGGGAATGATATGACTTTGCTACTTGATGTGATGCAGGGATTGGAGGTTATACCTATTTGTTAGAGCCACTCTGGTGGGTTGGCTTGGTCACAAGTGAGTCTTATAACCCAATTGCTCTTCTTTCTTTCTTCCTTCCTTTTTTTTTCTCGTTCAATTCTCAATTAGCTATACATTCTAAATGTGGGGGATTACAGTGACTTTTGGAGAGATTGCAAACTTTGTAGCTTACGTTTATGCTCCCGCTGTACTAGTCACTCCTCTCGGTGCTCTAAGTATAATCATCAGGTATGTTTTCTTTCGGATGATCATTGACATTTATCTGAAAATGTATTTCACTTCTTGTCTTTACTAACCCCTTTTATTTTTGTTCCCTGACAACTAGTGCTGTTTTGGCACATTTCTTGTTAAACGAGAAACTCAAGAAAATGGGAGTTTGGGGATGTGTTTGTTGCATTGTGGGATCGGTTATGATCGTCATACACGCACCTCAGGAGCAGACTCCCAACTCTGTTCAAGAAATCTGGAAACTAGCAATGCAACCAGGTTGAGCTCTTTCTCTTTTCCCTCTTACTCTTACACGCATAATGTGTCTTTTATCTGTGTAGTAACTTAGTTTCTTTTCATCCTGTTTTTTCTTGAAACAGCTTTTCTAATTTACGTAGCCGCGTCAATGTCCATTGTCCTGGCTTTGATTCTTTACTGCGAGCCTCTATGCGGCCAAACCAACGTTCTTGTTTACATCGGAATTTGTTCATTGATGGGTTCTCTAACAGTAAGTTTTCATGAATCAAAGCATTTTTGAGCTCTATTTTTCCATCTCTTTTCTCTAAAGTTGTGTTTTATGTTTAAGTAGGTTATGAGCATAAAGGCTGTAGGGATCGCAGTAAAGTTAACACTGGAGGGTATAAACCAGATTTGGTATCCAGAGACTTGGTTCTTTGTCATAGTTGCAGCAGTATGTGTCGTTACGCAAATGATATACCTGAACAAGGTAAGAATGGGACATGTACTTGTTGTGGTCTTGGACAGTTTTGGTTAATACTAATATGTTTGTTTATTTGGCCAGGCGCTGGACACATTCAACGCAGCAATTGTATCTCCAATCTATTATGTAATGTTCACAACCCTCACAATTGTTGCTAGTGCGATCATGTTCAAGGTAAGATTAGATTAGCTAAACATAAGTAATGTTCTAAAAGCAAATATATACTGTTGTTTATAATACCAGTTGTGTACAGGACTGGTATGGGCAAGACACAGAGAGCATAACCTCTGAGATATGTGGATTCATCACGGTGCTAACAGGAACAGTTATACTGCATGCGACGAGAGAAGAGGAACAAGCTTCTTTAGGAAGAGTGAGATGGCAGGAATCAGGGAAGAGCTTTAACGAAGAACATCTCGTAAGGTTGTACAGTCCCCCAGATCATCAGGAAAATAAAACCCCCAATAAGACCGTAACTGTGTTGAACTGAACGAGGTTGGTGTCCAAATCAGAAGATTATAATCAAATTGCATATCATCTCATCTCTCTAGTGCGGAAGAATGTAACTTTTTGTGTATACTTGATGTTGTGTAGTAGTAGTAGTATTGTTTTTTGAGATTTCTCTATACAACATTGGGGGTTTTAGAGAAAAAAAATTCTCTAGTCATTTTTTTTTGGGCTTATAATCGTGACAAATAATATATAGATATACTGAATGTTATTTATTTATTTTTACATATTTTGAGATATACACAATTAAATTGATGAAAGTGGAAATTCCTATTTAAAGTTAACAAAACTGTATTTTTTCACCCTGCAGGAAAAGGAAATAGATTGTAAATAACCTAAATAAATTTTGCCTGGGTGTTACAGCCACGGACGCTGTAAATTAATAGATTTTTTTTTTAATTTGCCTGGTCATATCTGATAAATTCAGAACTATAACGATGAAATTCGTAATTCCTTTTTTTTTAATCTAACAAAACTGTATTTTCTTCACCTTGCAAGAAAAGGAAATAAATTTTAAGATATCCTAAACTAATTAATGTTATAATCACCCTTGGTCATATCTGAAAAATCCACAACCGTCGGATCAAAAAAAAAAACTCCATATAAAACCAACTCGTGGTGTTCCCCAAGGGTTTCCTCACGAAAGCAAAACACAACCTTACATTCATTCACACACAAAGAGCAAAACAACAACAACAAGAGAAACATGGCGGCTGCAGTATCATCCGTTTGGGCAAAACCTGGCGCTTGGGCTCTCGAAGCCGAAGAACACGACGCCGAACTCAAACAACAACAACAATCATCCTCCCTTCCCTCTAACCAAACCGTCCCATCCTCAGATTTCCCTTCCTTAGCCACCGCCGCCACCACCAAAACCAAGAAGAAAAAAGGCCAAACCCTATCCCTCGCCGAATTCACAACCTACAGCGCCCCTAAAGCGTCTCCTCAGACGGAGCGTCTCACTCAAGCCGAGCTCGTCTCCCTCCCGACCGGTCCACGCGAACGCTCGGCGGAAGAGCTCGAGAGATCTAAGGGCTTCCGGAGCTACGGACGTGGGGAGGACTCGTCGTCGAGGTGGGGGTCGTCTAGGGTTTCGGAAGAGGGTGAGAGGAGAGGAAACGGTGGAGGATTCAACAGGGAGAGGGATTCGGGCCCTTCGCGGGCCGATGAGACTGATGATTGGGCCGCGGGGAAGAAAGCCTTTGGTGGAAACTCGTTCGAGAGGAGAGAGAGAGGGGGAGAAGGATTCGAGAGGAGAGAGCAGCGTGGTCCAGGCGGGGGGTTCTTTGATTCTCAGTCCAAGGCTGATGAAGTCGATAGCTGGGTCTCCTCCAAGCCGAGATTCGTCTCTACCAACAACAATGGTGGTGGTGATAGATTCGAGAAGCGAGGGAGCTTCGAATCTTTATCTAGAAACCGTGATTCTTCTCAGTTCGGAAGCGGAGGAGCTGATTCCGACACGTGGGGGAGGAGGAGAGGAGAGGAGAGCGGCGCGCCGGCTGCTCCGAGCGGTGGCGCACGGCCGAGATTGGTGTTACAGCCACGGACGCTACCTGTGGCTGCGGCTCCTGTGGTTGTGGAAGTGAAGCCGGAGAGTCCGGTGGCTGTGGAGAGACCTGTGATTGTGGAGAGGCCTAAAGGTGCGAATCCTTTTGGGAATGCGAGGCCTAGGGAGGAGGTTTTGGCGGAGAAGGGGCAAGATTGGAAAGAGATTGATGAGAAGCTTGAGGCTGTTAAGTTGAAGGAAGTTGCTGCTGTTGTTGAGAAGAGTGATGAGAGGTCTCCTGGGAAGATGGGGTTTGGTCTTGGTAATGGACGGAAGGATGATCGTACTGATGGTAGTTGGAGGAAAAGGTCTCTTCTTTGATTACATTACCTTTTGGTTTGGTTCTTAATTTTTAAGTTTGGTTTGATTGCTTGTCTGCTTGTGTTGGTTTTTTGGTCTCTTAGTTTCTGAGGAAGATATTGATTTTTATATGCTATAATTGATAGTGGCTTTTGATGAACTAAGGTTATGGATCACTGCATTGTTTGTTAATCTAGTTAAAGGATAGAGTAATCTCCTGATATATCATTTGCTTTTCTGTGCTAGGTGTGTCATTTATGCATTCATAGTGTAAAATATCTGTCAAATTATACTTTTCCTTGGCTTTATAATTGAATCCTCATTTCAGTCTTTCTTTTCAATATGGCATCCCTTCTGTCAGCTCTGTCTTTGTCTTTCTGCCTTATGAGCTATGACTGGTTTACTTAGTGTGATTTGGTACTTGGAGAGTTATAAAGGTATGTAAACCTATTCTTACATTGGATTGTGTTGTCTTTTTGAAGCTCTGAGCAATCTGAGGAAGCAGCTGTAGAAGAGGCTACCAAGGAAGAACCTAACATGGAAGAACCTACCAAGGAAGAGACTAGCAAGAAAGAGGCTGAAGAAGAAAACTAAATGGGCATTTTGGGGAATGTGAGGAGTTCATGAGGGTTTTTAGCTTCTGAGAATTTGTGTTGTTTTAAGTTGTCTGTTGAACTATATAGAAATTTTTGGTAGGGACTCCTTATAATTTATGTCTTTTGTTTTGCATACAGTCATGCAATTTTTAGGGATTGTGGGTGTCTTTCTATGAATTTGCACAATTCGTTATTCGTATTATTGTTTTTTTTTCAATTTGAGAACTGTTTCTTTGTTCTTGACTCTTCAGTGTTCTTTGCTAGGAAAGTAGGGATCTTATTTAAACTGAACTAGTCTTAATCCCAATCCAAAATGAAAACTCACACTACAAACGAAACTAAATTTGACAATCAGATAATACAAATAGGTTCATATGTTTATTTGGCATCTTAGTTAATCAATGTATCTCAGAATGTTATGCTCTTAATCTTTTTTTTTTGGGATCAAATTGGATTCCCAAAAACTATATACAAGGGCTTCTTTTGTTTTATTTTCATACACAGCCTGTATGTATGGTTGTCTTTGAGATATAAGAACACATGGTAGGCCCTGTGTATGATTGATTGTTTTCTCTACGGATCCTATCTTTTATACCTTTATCCATATGCTAAATTTGTGAGGAAAACTATATCACAATGAATAAAAACTGAGCATGTGTCTTGTATATGCATAATAACGAATGGAAAAATAATAAAGAGTCACGTTCTATTGGTATCTTTCACGTCGAGGAGAGCCAGCTCATAGAAAGTGACCCCAAAAAAAACTGAAATAAAAATAGCGAACACACACAAATGGACCTACCAAACAGACAAACATCAATTACAGCCCAACCACTCTTTGAATATGTAACTCAAACTCAACTAATCAATCGTTACACATAAATCCACAATACTTAATTATTTAAAAAAAAAACAGAAGTAAAATATATCATAGTAACTGTAAGTTTACATAATGTAAAGTTATATATATTTTTAATCTTAAACGGTCTTTTTTGTGATAAAGTACGGTCACTAAGAAAAGATAAAACGAATATTTAGCAACTTTTAAGTACCAATAATATTCGAAAACAGAACAAGGGAGCATAACAATAACCAAAAAAACAAAATAATTCATAACAACTTCTGTTTTGTTTACTTGAATTATTTATAAAGGCATCGACCAAACATTGTAATAACCACTACTCATCACAAGAGAGAGAGAGAGATCAAAGCCTCACCAATGGGGACTCACCTTTCGAAACAGCTCGAGCGACGTAAAGCCATCTCCACCGAGAAAAAAACCCTCTCCGATCTCCAAAACTCCTGCGGCTGCGAGTTCCCCGGATCCGACTACATCCCCACCGATCGCAAAACCTGGATGGCCGGCGTTGGACCCGACAAGCTCCACATCAACAAGATCGTCTGGCCAGGGACTCACGACTCCGCCACAAACAAAATCGGTATCCGCTTCATCTCACGTCCCTTCGCACAGTGCCAGTCTCTCTCCATCTACAACCAGCTCGTCGCGGGGACACGTGTCCTCGACATCCGCGTCCAACAAGACCGCCGTGTATGCCACGGAATCCTCAAAACCTACAGCGTCGACGTCGTTTTAACCGACCTAAAACGTTTCCTCTCCGAGACAGAGTCCGAGATCGTAATCCTCGAGATCAGAACGGAGTTCGGACACGAGGATCCACCGGAGTTCGATAAGTACCTCGTGGAGCAGCTAGGTGAGCATCTGATTCACCAAGACGATAACGTGTTCAGCAAGACAGTAGCTGAGTTGCTTCCCAAAAGAGTGATCTGCGTTTGGAAACCTAGGAAGTCTCCTCAGCCTAAGCACGGTGATCCTTTGTGGAGCGCGGGGTACTTGAAAGATAATTGGATCGATACGGATCTTCCTTCGACGAAATTCGAGAGCAATTTGAAGCATTTGAGCCAGCAGCAACCGGCTACTTCGAGGAAGTTTTTCTATAGGGTGGAGAATACTGTTACTCCGCAGGCTGATAACCCTATACTGTGTGTTAAACCGGTGACTAATAGGATTCATTGTTATGCTAAGGTGTTTATTATAGAGTGTGTGAAGAGAGGATGTGCTGATAAACTGCAGATTTTTTCCACGGATTTTATTGATAAGGACTTTGTTGATGCTTGTGTTGGCTTCACTTTTGCAAGAGCTGAGGGGAAGGCTTGAGGTGTTATATGTGAGTGGAATTCGAGTAGAGCATTGTTGTATATTTGTTTTATAGAAGAAAAAAGGATCAGAACACATGGCTGTGTACTTAGGGGTTCCTTGTGTATTATTGATCAAGCCGTTTGTTTTTTTTTTCCTGTGTGAAAACATGTATTTGTGTGCATTTGATCTGAGGCTGTATATTCATCATATTCTTTACTGAATGTAATTATATACATTCTGCATGTACCAGTAAAACATCTGTCTTTCTTTTTGTATAGGTAGTAGTTGACAAACTTTCAGTCTCATATGTTGCCTGTTGGAGATTCACAAAATAGAAATGCGGTGATCAGCAGACTGAAGTCAGATATAACCACCAAAATCCACATCAGAAACGAATGACCTTATCAGTTAGCACTGAAGGGGGATAACTAATGCACCGAGCAAATGAGACTCAGATAAAGAAACAATTGCATAGACAAAACGACACTAGTCCACAAGAATCAATGTGAGATGTAAGACCACCCGCAACAAGGGGTCCTTAGGGAGAATCCTTAGGGAAATATTAATTTTATAACCAATGGATTCCATGAATTATTAATTATGTAAGGATTGATCCTTACACTATTCATGGGTTCCATTGCCCACGTGTCGATCCACGATTGGTCAGATTTTTTATTTTAAAGAAATAATCCGAAATATCCTTATATAATCTGAAATACCTTTTTTTTCTTTTTTCCTAATGATTCCCCTAAAAGATCCCTTGTTGCGGATGCTCTAAGAGAGAGAGGACTAACACAGAGCACATAGCTCTTCAAGAATTACAAAAATCTTGAAAAAACAATGTGAGGAGGTAGTGCATAAGGATTGTAGTTGGGAGTCATCCCAATGATTGGAGACTGCTTATTGGGCTAATAGAAGATCCACCTAACCATGAGTGCTTGTGACTAGCCCTGAGAAAATTCATTAGTTTATCTATTGAAAGTAAAACCAAGAGCCATGTCAGTGGCAAGAAATGCATCTTGATCTTTATGATTCAACAAATATGCTCAAAAGTAAAAAAAAAGAAACAATTAATCCCGTCTTAATTAGTGGACCAACACAAAAAAAGAAACAATTAATCCCGTCTTAAAAAGAAACAATTACATAGTTGTGTGCAAGTCTCATCATAGCAATTCTCATTTTTCTTGCCTTTTTACTGTTCGCTTAACCCTACGTCTGCAAAGAAAACAAAAAGCATGGGACGCGGGGCCAACTTTCCACCTTATAATGGGCCGAGTCTCAAGCAAAATTCATCATATGGGCTTATTTCACACGTAATGGAGGATTAGGGTGGAACCCTACACTCCTGAAAAGGCAGAAGCAAAGATGGTAACTACTTACCGCCTAATAGCTCTTCAGCTTCTAGCTAATCTATATTATAATAGTTGAGTTTCAAGACTCCTTAACGCGCCACATCAGCATTAGGTGGGTCCCACTTTAAAAATGTGAAAAATGTCAAACATATGACTCGAACCCGGGTTATTAAGAAACAAACACTAACATTTATACCACTAAACTACAGGATAACTTGTACATTGATGGCCGAAACTAATATATATTTAGCCGGAAGCCTTTGCATCTATAACCTCCTTTAAAGTTCGGGCCTAGAAGTGTATTATGAGTTTCATTTTTATTTGGGCTTCATCATATTATATGAAGAAAATCCTCAAGTTTACAACAGTTATAGTTTTCCCATATTGTAAACCGTTAATGTTTAAAATGAGTTAAGATTCCTTTCATCATCGTATCATACAGGTCTGAGTTATAGAGCTGCGTCGTGTGTCCGTTCGTAATCTATTTTTTTCACCGGTGAACTTTTCATCTCCCCATCTTATATCACTTGATCATAAATGTTCCTAATTTGTAGCCCCTCTGTAAATCATATATATATGATTCTCATCTTTGATGAAGCCTATGTGCATCTCCACAAAACTTATTTATTCCTCTTAACTTTAACCATCTTCTAGAAAATATCTCTCTCTCATTCTCCAGTTCCTAAAACTAGCGTCACCGGCATCCATCATGCAGCCTTCAAGTCTCTCTGTCATGTTAAAGTAAACATATGCCATATACCAACCAAATTAACATATAGAAACTCAAATCATTCAGTATGGGTTTTAGT